TCTCTTAAATCAAATCTTTAATAAAAAAAACAATTAAAAAAAATAAATAAAAGCAAAATGTTAGTCAAGTAGTGACCAGTAGCTTCCTACACAGAGACGCTAGGAAATAAATTAACTTTGCAACTTGTTTTTCCTTCAGACTATAAACTTGCTGAACTAGAATCTTCTTTTAAACTCTACAGAACCTATTCATTATCCCTAAAGGAGAAACTTGTATTTTCAGCCTTACTCTTTCTTGAGTTAAAAGGGAAGTCTTCTACATCCCAAGGAAATGGTCTGAGATCTACATAGAAATGAATTTACAAAGATAATCATCACAGTACTAATCATTACAGCTAACTTGTTTTTAAAACCTAGATGTCCAAAAATAGAAAACCACTTAATTATAGATTATGAAATACTGTCAACATTCAGGTTTGCTTTCATGCTCAGTGTGTGATGTTAGGTCAGAGAAAAGCAGGATAAGAATCTATACACATGGCTAAAATATGAATACACGTGTGTGTGTGTGCATGTATGTGTGTGTGTGTGTGTATATATATATATATATAAACTGGAAGGAAATGAAGTACACCAAAATTTTAATTGTGCTTTCTTTTTAATTTTTATTTCTTTTTAAAGATTTTATTTATTTATTTGACACAGAGAGAGCACAAGCAGGGAGAGTGGCAGGCAGAGGGCGAAGCAGGCTCCCTGCAGAGCAAGGGAAGCCTGATGTGGGACTCAATTCCAGGACCCTGGGATCATGACCTGAGCCGAAGGCAATCACTTAACCCACTGAGCACCCAGGCGCCCTGTGCTTTCTTTTTTTTTTTTTTTAAGATTTTATTTATTTATTTGACAGAGACAGCGAGAGCAGGAACACAAGCAGGGGGAGTGGGAGAGGGAGAAGCAGGCCTCCTGTGGAGCAGGGAGCCTGATGTGGGACTTGACCCTGAGACCATGACCTGAGCCGAAGGCAGACGCTTAATGACTGAGCCACCCAGGCGCCCTGTGCTTTCTTTTTTAAATACTTAGATAAACCTTCTATTTTTTTTTAAAGATTCTATTTATTTATTTGACAGAGAGAAACACAGTGAGACCGGGAACACAAGCAGGGGGAGTGGGAGAGGGAGAAGCAGGCTTCCCGCAGAGCAGGGAGCCCAATGCGGGGCTCGATCCCAGGACCCCGGGATCATGACCTGAGCCGAAGGCAGACACTTAATGACTGAGCCACCCAGGTGCGCCATAAACCTATTTTAAAATAGTTTTCAATTTACAGAAAAGTTGCAAAATAACAGAGTTTCTGTATACCCAGCACCCACTTTCCCCTTTTGTTAGTATCTTACATTACTATGGCACATTTGTCACATAATACTGATATATTAGTATTAACTAAACTCCATACTCTGTCCATATTTCCTTAGTTTTTCCCCAATGTCCTTTTTCTGTTCAAGTATCCCATCTAGGATACCATATTACATTTAGTCATGTCTCCTTAGGCTCTCCTTGGCTGTGATGGGTTTTTAGACTTTTTGTTTTTCATGACCTTGACAGTTATGAGTATTGTGGTTAGGTATTTTGCAGAATGTCCCTTAATTTGGGCTTGCTTGAAGCTTTTCTCATGATGAGACTAGGGTTATGGGTTCTTGGGAGGAAGACTGCAGCGGTGAAGTGCCACTTTTAACACATTGGTCATACCAAGGTTACGTGATATCAACACAATTTATCCCTGATGTTTACCTGGCTAAGGTAGTGTTTGTTACACTTCTTCATTATAGAGTTACTCCCTGTCCCCCTTTCCATGCTGTACCCTTTGGTAGTGAGTAACTAAGTATAGCTGCCTGCCTTTTGACTTCTAAGTTTTCAGTATTTTCTAAATTTCTATAATAAACATATATTTCCTGGAAAAAAAAGCCAAAACCAATTTTAAATCCTACCTATACTTCAAGTCTCATCTGAAATGCCACTTCTCTTAAGTCCTCCCCACCTCTCCACTAAGTTAGATGTGGTTTGTCCCATCCTTATGTATTTTTATTCTGTTCTCTCTCTACACTAAAACGTTATTTCCCCCACTTGTTTATACATCCATCTTATTTCAGAAGGGATTAAAGGAGGGGCTCCTCTCCTCCCTGTGTCTGCTGCAAGGCCTCGTCTACAAGGGACATGGTCATCCACCTCTTAACTTCTTTTGTTCTGTCCTGAGGCTCTCTCAGGAACCTGCTCCAGAATCTTTGAGGACACTAAGTATTCCAGCATGATAAACAGTAAAGAAATTACCTTGGAGAGTATAGTTAAACCATTCCGGTTTTTCTTGCCCATGTGCTGAGGAAAGCATGCAGAAAGCACAATTGGTAGTACAGAGAGAAGCCCCCAGCCCTGCTATTACCTTCTTGGTCATGGGCAGAGGCATCCCTGAGCCCACGGAGGTGAGTGGAGATTAGAAACTATAAGCACCACATTTTCTTCATGTAAAAACAAACAACCAATCTTCGACTCTTTCATACCTTTTTGTTTCTTTTGGCTTTCAGTTTTCTTCTGGTTTAGCCCTGGCTTGGTAGAGCCAGAGACCACAAGCCTCTCTAATTAGCACCCATACTAAGAGCTTTTTTTTTTTAATTAAGATTTTATTTATTTGACAGAGAGAGAGCGAGAGAGGGAACACAAGCAGGGGGAGTGGGAGAGGGAGAAGCAGGCTTCCAACTGAGCAGGGAGCCCGATGCGGGACTTGATCCCAGGACCCTGGGATCATGACCTGAGCCAAAGGCAGCCACTTAACGACTGAGCCACCCAAGCGCCCCAAGAGCTCTTTTTCAAGATGACATTTTATTTATTTAGGTGCTGTCTGAATCTGAGGCAGGATTCTCTGTCATGTAGCGATTTAGAAAATTCAATGATAAAACAGAAGCAGAAGGGAAATATAAATAAGTCATAATCCATATTAAGAAAAAAGATCCAGTAGCCATGTTTACATCTTAATAATCTTCCTGTTCTTTCTCTATAATTGTAAATATGTTTCCAAATGTTATTTGTAAATATTTTCTTGAAGACATCTCTGCTCTGGAAGTTTAATCTTATGGCCCGTGGATGTAACCATCAATTTCCAAGCCTTCCTAATTAATTACCAGAAAAAACCTTGCTAGTGTATAATGCCCAATGTGCAAATATCTGAATTTTCTTTGTTAGGGAGAGAGTTTTAGATTGACATCACAGTCATCTTTCTTTGGTTAAACAAATGTTAACAGCAATCACTGACTCTAGCAGATTACATTTGCTTTAAAATGTGAACAGGGGCGCCTGGGTGGCTCGGGCCGGTTAAGCGTTTGCATTTGGCTCAGGTCACGATCCCAGGGTCCTGGGATGAAATCCCACATCAGGCTTCCTGCTCAGCCAGGGAGTCTGCTTCTCCCTCTGCCTCTGCCCTCCCCGTGCTGTGCTCTCCCTCTCTCTGTCAAATAAATAAATAAAATCTTAAAAAAAAAAAAAAGGTTATGAACAAGAGCTGTGCTTGCACATATTCTTTCACTTACCTCCCAGAGTTGGGAGGATTAAATGACTGGCATAAAATTGGTGCCTTGGAAGCATATTTCCTTCCCCAACTGCTCTCCTCCTTCCTGGACTAAAATAAAACCACTGTCAGTTCCATGTGTTGCTGTGGCATCAGGTGTGTGTGTCAAGTAAAAGCTGCCTCTTCCCAGCACTTACTTGTTTTGTAAAATCAATATTTTTAAAATGACATTTATGCAACAAAACACCTTTTTTATTGGTATATATATATCCATGTTAAAGCAGAATAAGGACACACATGAAAATCATCACAAAGATTATTTTGTGGAGGATAACGGTAGCCTAGGGATTGATGGGCCACTTTGGCTAGATTATTTTGAGCTGAAGGCAATTGAGACCCTACGGGCTCAAGAGAAATTTTTGCCTTTCCCTTAACTACATGAAAGAATCTAAATTGAGGGTCTTTCCCAGAATAAGGGTTATTAACAGAGATAAACTGTATCTGAGTGACCCATCTGTATGGCAGGGCAAACATCTAATTATCAAACATCTGCTCTTCTTATTGCCCTGTGAAGTGCATTCCTTCCCTCAGAAGTCCTAGACCCCTAACCTTTTCTCCTTCGTTCAGGATGACGTACATACCTCGTTTTGCCTGTCTTTGGAATTTCCATGTCTGTGTGGATTTCCTGTGCATATGCTATCAGATTTGATTTTCTCCTCTTAATCTGTCTCTTGTCAATTTGATTCTTAGCCAGTTAGAAGGACCTAATATGGGACAGGAATTCTTGCTCCCCGACAGTAGTGACCGTGGCAAGAACACTGAAAGGAGACGGCATCTTCACTTGTAATGTTCCACTATTTAATCTTTAACAAAAGTTGCTTACACTTACGGCTCTCTTTTCATTCCTGACATAATTTGTATGGAGACTATTTTTTTAAGATTTTTTTTTATTTCTTTATTTGTGAAAGAGAGCACAAGCAGGGGGAGCAGCAGAGGGAGAGGGAGAAGCAGGCTCCCCGCTGAGCAAGGAGCCCCATGCGGGACTCGATCCCAGGACCCTGGGATCATGACCTGAGCCAAAGGCAGACACTTAACTGACTGAGCCACCCAGGTGTCCCATATGGAGACTATTTTTTTTTTCTTTTTTTTTTTTTAATAATTTTTTTATTGTTAACCACCATACATTACATCATTAGTTTTTGATGCAGTGTTCCATGATTCATTGTTTATGCATAACACCCAGTGCTCCACACAGAATGTGCCCTCTTTAATACCCATCACCAGGCTAACCCATCCCCCGACCCCCCTCCCCTCTAGAACCCTCAGTTTGTTTTTCAGAGTCCATCGTGGAGACTATTTTTAATGGTGATGTCATTTAAAGAGAAAGGAATAAAAACCTAAAAGTGTTATAATAATACAGCGGGTGAACTGTCTTTAACTGTTGCTGCTTAGCATATATTAGTCTCACCCTCCTAAACTTCAAATAGTGGGTTATATTTTCAGGAGAGTCCCCCTAACTTTTCTCCACCAAGTGTTTGTGGAAGAAAGTCTGGAGCTGCTTCCAAGCATCCACCTGGGCCATGGCATGAGCCCTGGGCTCCCCTCCCCAGATGACAGGACCACCCACGAAGATGTGTAGGGAAGCCCGGCACAGGGGGAAGTAAGGAGGCTCAATGTAGTGCCCTGTCCCAGGATAACAGATGATCTGGGGCTTCTCCCTACCATGGGCCTGTAAGCACTTAGAGGCCTCATTAGCAAAGAATTCACTTTTCCAGTTGTGGTCATCCTGACCTACAAGGAACAGGAAGGCACTCTCAGCCCTTTCCACGGGAATGAAACTCTTCTGGTCAGCTTCTTCCAAAGGGCTGTTCAGGACATGCAAAATGTCTGCCAAGCCGTCTTTGGTCAGCCTTATTCGACTTGGGTCTATGCCCAGAGGGGGCAAGGTCTCATCTTTGTAGTGTAAGGCTCCTCCGACAATGGCCACGGAGCCATTGATTATGACAGAAGCAGTGATACCTTTCAGGAATGAGGCCATAGACAGGCAGAGTTCACCTCCTTTGGAACTGCCAAGCAGCCCGACTCCCGGACCCTTTACCTGAGAAAACGACAGAGGAAGGAGAATGAGCCATGAACAGTGCAGTGTGATGAGCAGTGCCTAGAATTGGAAAACAGGTGCAACTGAGCCTGAATCTGGGCTCTACCATTGGCCAAGTTTTGCAGTCTTGGGGTATTCACTTATTCTTCCTCTCTATCTTCCTTTCTACAATTTCTCCATCATCATTCTTGGTGACTTCAGCAACCATGTGGAGGATATACTAAATACTCTGGTTTCTTAGCATTTGTGTTTCCCATCCATCCTGCCACATTTCACTTATGTTTGCTTTCCACTTCCCCAAAAGACCATGCCACACCTCCCCTAAGACAACATCAAGCCTCTTAACCTTTAACCCTGTTCCCTTTCACTGTCAGCTCTTCACGCCAGATGGAGAAAATAAAGCTCTCCAGTAGGGACTCTGCCTCTTTTCACCCTGCAGGATCTACTTAGTTCCACAGGAGCTCAAGCTCTCTGCCTTCCCTTGGGTTTCCAAAGTGCCTCTGTGCTTACCCCTGCTGCCTGCACTTGGAATCTCCTCCACTCTCATTCTCCAGGACTTGCTCCTACAATTACATCATCTTTCTCCTTCTTCATCACTTTCTTCTGTGGCCCATTCCCATGGGTGTACTTAATGCTCTATTTTCATAACATTTTCATAACAAACCCTTGACCTCACATCCACTCTGCCCTAGTTTTCTACTCTCTTTCACAGCAAAATTTGTGGGGACCAATTGTCTGAGTTGTTCTTTTAGTCTTCCCTTCTCTACCCCATCCCCTCAGGGTAGTTTGGGTCTGCACTATCCCACAAGGACTGCTCTTGCCACAGTTACCAACATCTATTATAAATGGCCCTCCGATTCCCCTCTCAACAGCAGTCTTTTTCTCCTTATGGCTTCTACAACAGCACCCTTGACTCTTTTCAACCATTTATTCCTCCTAGAGGAAAAGTACTAGGAAATTAAATGATATATTATTATCATCCCAACTTTTCAGAGGAGGAAAGAGAGGCCGCAAGATCATGGGGCTAGTTGGCAATTGGTGAAATCAACACTTAGATTTAACTCTTGTCTATCCACATCTCATGCTGGTGCCACTGCACACTATCACCTTTTCTAAGAGTTCCAAAGCTTCCCATCCACTGAGCTCTAGCAATGTTTACCTCCTGATCCTCTGATACCCTGAGACCATGAACCTCAAAACACTTCCTAGTACCAAGGTTTCTGGCTGCCCAGTTCTTCTTTAATACTTAAAACTGTGCTCTCAGAGGGGCCACAAGGAAGAGAGGGTTGTTATACATGAACATTTAACGTAGGGCCTTCTGGAGAGTGTGATCCCCTTCCCATTTCCCTCTACTTCCTGTATCAAAGCCAGGGTTCTCAAATATGTTTGGGCTTATTATGATATCCTGTAAAATACTGGAATTTAAAATTCCAAACCAACTAAGAACATCTTTACTAGCAGGAAATACGAGAACATAAGATTGCATAGAAACAGTCTATGAAAAGTGACTCTAAATGGTAGTGTGTATTGGGGACTGGGAGTGGTGGTGGTGAATTTGTCATGTTCTGTGAAAACTAAGAGCAGTTATGAAGACAGTGATACATAGATCATAAAACCTTCAGAAGTTCCAACCTGAGGGTGATCCAGCAGGTAGTTCACAGCTTCTTCAAAGTAGTCCAGGTGGAGGGTCTCCAGACCTTTGGGGAGGTCTTCATAGTTATGATAAGCCAGAGCCATCACAGCAAAACCCTTGCCAGCCAGCAGACTAGCTCGTTGTTCCAGAAGGCCACTTCCAACTCCATAAATGTCCACAATCCCAGGAAAGGGCCCCGGTTCTTTGGAAGAAACAAAACACAAAACTGAACTATTCCCCAAACTCTCTGCAGTGGGGTCAAAAGCCCTATGTTGCCTACTTGGTGATGTCAAAGTTTTCTATTGACAATCAGAAATGCTAGAAGACCTCTCTGGTCTTCAAAGATCCAGACAGTGGCACAGGCTCAATCCACATTTCCCCTATACCCAGAGCCTCAAAGCCCCACAGATTTTTTACAAAAAGCATGCTTTACTTTTGTAATTAAAAATAATTTACAAGCAGACAATGAAAAGAGCAAAATCGTTACCCCTTCCACCCCAAAGCTGACAATGCCAAATGCTAGAGAGCAGGTAGAACAATTGGAACACTCATACACTGCTGGTGGAAATGCAAAATGATACAGCCACTTGGGAAAACAGCTGGGCAATGTCTTATAAAATTAAACACGTACTTACCATATGATTTAGCAATCTCCTTCCTAGGTATTCACCCAAGAGAAGTGAAAATTTGTGTTCACACAAAAACATGTATGCAAAAGTTTGTAGTGACTTTTTTCATCATCTCCAAAGACTTGAAACCCAGCCTGGAAACCCGTCCTTCAACTGTTGAATGAATAAAACTGCTTTTGGGTTTTGTTGTTGTTGTTTTAAAAGATTTTATTTATTTGAGAGAGAGAGAGAGAGAGAGAGAGAGCATGCACATGCGTGCGCGCACGCACACACACGAGTGGGGGGAGGGGCAGGGAGAGAGAAGAGAGAGAGAGAGAGGAGAGAAAAAGCAGCAGAGACTCCCTGCTGAGCAGGGAGCCTGGGATCAGGACCTGAGCAAAGGCAGCCATGCTCTACCGACTGAGCCACCCCGGCGCCCCTTTCATGCTAATTTTCTTAAACCTTAATATACTGTGAGAGTTAGAAGCAAAGTTGCTATACTGAGAAATCATTAAAAAAAAATCAATAAAGGGGGGGAGCCTGGGTGGCTCAGGTCATGATCCCAGGGTCCTGGGATCGAGCCCCACATTGGGCTCCTTGCTCAGCAGAGAGCCTGTTTCTCCCTCTCCCTCTGCTTGGCAGGGGGCCTGCTTCTCCCTCTCCCATTCCCCCTGCCTGTGTTCCCTCTCTCATTGTGTCTCTCTGTCAAATAAATAAATAAATAATCTTTAAAAAAAAAAATCATTAAAGGGATGCCTGGTGGCTCGGTTGGTTAAGTCTCTGCCTTCGGCTCAGGTCATGATCCCAGGGTCCTGGGATCGAGTCCCACATTGGGTTCCTTTCTCAGCAAGGGGCCTGCTTCTCCCTCTGCCTGCCTGTCTCTCTCTCTGACAAAGGGGCGCCGCCTGGCTGGCTCAGTCGGTAGAGCATGGGACTCTTGATCTGGGGGTTGAGTTTGAGCCACTTAAGGGTTGGGTGTAGAGATTACTTAAAAATAAAATCTTAAAAAAAAAAAAAGACTTGGAACCACCGGGGCACCTGGGTGGCTCAGTCTGCTAAGTGGCTGCTGGCGCAGGTCATGATGTCAGGGTCCTGGGATCCAGCCCCCCATGGGGCTCTCTGCTCAGCAGGGAGTCGGCTTCTTCTCAGTCTCCCTCTGTGCTCTCTCTCTCAGATAAATAAATAAAACCTTAAAAAAAAAGACTTGGAACTACCTATGTTTTTGTTTTTACTTAAACTGTCTTTTCCCTTTCCTTACGTCTTCTAGCTGACCTCTCAGTTTTGGAGAGGCAGAGCCACCTCCCCACCAGAGCCCACTTTGAGGCCCCCACAGACCTCTGCAATGTTGGGAGCTACCTCCTTACTGTCGGTAGAAGTGCAGGAGACGAGAGAAAGACAGGCCTGGCACCCGGGGCGCTCACCTGGGGGCAGGAAGAGCGTAGCGCGCACCCGGCCCGCGCGCACCGGCTCCCGCCGCACGCCTGGCCGCAGGAAGTCGCGCTCGTGCACCGTCCGGCCCAGGACGCGCCCGGCGTCCGGCTCGTGGCCGTCGAGCACCTCCAGCTCCACGGCGAAGAGCGTTTGCACGTCCCGCTTCACCAACCGCACCAGGGGTTTCTCGGGCTCCAGGGCCCAGAGCAGCCCCATGGGCTCGAGCCCCGTGAAGCTGCCGCCCAGCGCGGGCGCGCGCTCCAGGTCCAGGAGGCCGCCGGCGTCGGCTCGGTACCGCGCGTGGGCCCGGAAGAGCGCGCCCTTCTCGTCGCGCAGGGACGCGCGCAGCGTGACGGGCTGTTGCGGGGCCAGGCCGCGCACGGCGATGCGCACGGGCTCGTCCCAGCTGCAGCGGCCGGCGGGCTCCAGGCTCCAGGTCGCTGTCTTCCGGGCAGGGGCCCATGAGACCCGGCCGCCAGACCACAGCTTTGGAGAGCCTGTCAGGTGGCCCCATCGGCCGAGTCCGGAAGCTCGCAGGCTAGCGCCGGCGGAGGACATCATTTTGCCTTTTGATTTTAGTTTTCGTGTGAATTGAACAGGGCAGTGAAGTAAGTTAGAAACTGCTCAAAGCTCCTCTAGTGGCGGACTGCCTCATCTGCATGTTAAGCGCCAGTGGGGCCGACTAGCCCGCCCAATTGAGCTTGGAGGGCCAGACTCCTGTCCCACCAGGTCAGTGGCTTACCTTTAAAAGCAAGAGCGAAAATGACACACGTGACCTTTCTTTACATGCTGGAAAACCTGCAGTTTATGTCGGGGAAGACTTTCCTGGCTCTGCTTCTCAGAAGCTCGGTCTGTGCAATGTTTGCCGCATAAGGGCTGGCTCTGAAGGATTCTCGCAGCTAGGAAAGTCTCCAGTAGCCAATTTTTTTTTAAAGTTAATTTTGAGTGGGTTTTTGTTATTTTTCCACCGTTTTTTTAAAAATCAGTTTTTAAAAAGTTATTTGAGGTAGAGCACGAGCACGAGTAGGGGCGGGGGGCCGGCAGAGGGAGAGGGAGAAGCAGGTTCTTCGCTGATCTGGGAGCCCGATGCGGTGCTGGGACCCTGGGATCAGGGCCTGAGCTGAAGGCAGAAGCTTAACCATTGAGCCACCCAGGCGCCCTTCCAGTCGCCAAATTCTTTTTTTTTTTACATAACAGGTTTATTTTTTTTAAAGGTATATAGACAGTAAACAAAGTAAACAATCAGATCTTCACTTCTACCCAGTATTATCTGTCCTAGAACTCGTCCATTAAGTTCCAGGCTCTAAACATCTTAAATTTCAATAATCGTCCTCTTCATCAGAGTCCATGACTTTTCTTCTGTTGAATTTAACTGTGGTTTTGTTTGTTGGCTTACTTTTTCAAGGATTTCTTTTAAACCTTGTTCTGATACCTTCCCACTTAGTTGTCCCTATCTTGCCATCTGTATGAGGTAATTCTCTACTGCTTTAGGTTTTTCGGGGTTTACAAGTGCTAAGTTACTGAAGTGGGTCCGGGGTGTCTGATCCAGGGCTTGGGCTAAGACACTGTTTCTCATTTCTGCTTCCCTGTGCTTTGTTTCCGGTTGTGCTGCATCGCCAGGACCCCCGAGCCTCCCCCGGTGTCCGGCCGGCCTCTGCTTGCTCAGAGCCGCCAGCCCCTCCTCCGCTGTGGTGCAGGGGTCCGGGGTCGAGCAGCCGCGACCACGCTCCTGGTCGCCAAATTCTTAACAGCTAAGAGGAGTGCAGGACAGGAATTGAGTTTTATCAGTTTGTTGAGTAATTCACTGTCATTAATTATCATAAGACCTTTAAAAGTGTGCATCATGGGCGCCTGGGTGGCTCAGTTGGTTAAGCGACTGCCTTCGGCTCAGGTCATGATCCCGGAGTCGCGGGATCGAGTCCCATATTGGGCTCCCTGCTCAGCGGGGAGTCTGCTTCTCCCTCTGACCCTCTTCCCTCTGTGCTCTCTATCATTCTCTCTCTCTCAAATAAATAAATAAAATCTTAAAAAAAAAAAAGTGTGCATCATGGTGTTTTGCTTGTGTATTACCTGTGTATAGGCTTAACTTCCTCCCCCATCCCCACATTTAAGGGGCCTGGAGTTTTACTAGCTGTGTGACCACAGCTTCATTCCTTTTAGGTGTAAAAATAGTCAAGTGAGATCACAGTTACTACACTGCCTTATCGAGTTGGCTGTAACTTAGGCAAATGTTCTCTCCATCTGGGACCTCTCACCTTTTCCCCACTTCTTCATAAGCTATGGATGGGTTCCACCTAGTGGTGGATTTTTCATCAAACTTCAGGCCCTTTCCCTGACCTTGTATTTGATTTTACATTCATGACTTTTTCATATTAGAGAAACCTGCAAATTGTTTAAGCTCGATTCAAGCCCACACCTGTTTGCCACTGCTCCCCATGAGACCACCCTCAAGGACCTTCCCAACCAATGCTTTTTACCTAGTTTCAAATGTTCTCGTCCTGCTGGTTATTAACCATGCAGTTCCCTGTAGCTCTAATTAGTTTTGCACTGGTTCTGTGGGATATTTCAGTGTATTCTGTGCACAGAAACTAAAGAAAGTAAATAATTATAGTTCTTAATCCTTACAAGAACCTTATGAGAAAATTCAGGCCTGGAGGAAGAGATGAATTGATTTGCTGAAGATCAAACAACTAGAAATACTGGGATTTATTTACTTTTAAGGATTTTATTTGTCAGAGAGAGAGCATGTGCATGCACAAGCAGGCAGGGGTGGCAGGCAGAGGGAGAAAAAGGCTCCTCATGGAGCAAGGAGCCTGATGCAGGACTTGATCCCAGGAACCCGGGATCATGGCCTGAGCAGAAGGCAGATGCTTAACCGACTGAGCCACTCAGGTGTCCTGAAATACTGGGATTTATATCTTTGCAATCAGATTCCAGTCTATGCTCTGAACCATTATGCTTTAATTGTTCTTATATGTGCTATGTTAAAGATTTATAAAACATTCATATATGGTTGATGGATGCATAAACTGGTATGACCTTTAAAAAAATATTTAAAAGGTGCATTCCCTTTGACTCACAATTCCACTTCTAGGAATTTCTCTTAAGTATTTGTGAATCTATATATATATTGGCTGTAAGGATGCTTATCATATTGTTGTTTTAATAGAGGAAAAGTGAGAAACAAACTAGCAATATAAATTTGGTTTAATCAGTTGTGATGCAGTCATATAACAGAAGAGATGTAGACATTAAAAATGTTATAGCAGAATATGATGAAGAAACTCTCATGGCATTGAAAGCAGGTGGAGATCCATATAACCTTAAAAAATGTGTATTAATACCTTAAAAAAAAAAAAAAACTAGTCAGTTACCCAAACTGTTGTTTCTTAGGCTTTGGGGTACTTTGGGTACTTTTAATTTTCTTCTTTGTCCAGAATTTCTATCAGAAATAACATGGCTGGGGGGCCTGGGTGGCTCTGTTGGTTGAGCATCTGACTCTTGATCTCAACTCAGGTCTTAATCTTAGGGTTGCCTTGGGCTCCACACTGGGCATGGAGCCTACTTTAAAAAAGAGAGAGAGAAAAGAAAATAACAACATGGCTTTCATAGTTAAATAGGGTTTTTAAAAATGGTGGTATTATACAAACCTAAAACTTATCATTTTAACCATTTTTAAGTGTATAGTTAAGTACACTCACAGTGTTATGCAACCATCACCACTATCTATCTCCAGAACTCTATCACCCAAGCTGAAAACCCTTGCATCCCCTGGAAACCACTATTTTATTTTTGTTCTCTAGGAATTTGACTATTCGAGGTACCTCATATAAGTAGAATCATACAGCATTTGTCCTTTTCTGTCTGACTTATTTCAGTTATCATGTCTTCCACGTCCATCCATATATGTAGCATGTATCAGAATTTTCCTCCGTTTTAAGGCTCATCTACTGTATGTATGCAATACATTTTGTTTATCCATTTATCTACTGATGGATTTTGGATTGTTTCCACATTGACCATTGTGAATGCACTGCTATAAACATGGGTATACAAATACCTGTTTAAGAACCCCTGCTTTCAGTTCTTTTGGGTATATACTCATAAGTAGTAGAATTGCTAGATCACATGGTAATTCTGTTTAATTTTTAAGACTTCCAGTCTTTTCATCTCAGGGACCATGCCTTTTCACCCTTTTGTTAAGGGTCTCAGGGTATTTTTTTTTTTAAGATTTTATTTAAGGGTCCCAGGGTCTAAGCACAGCCTGAGCCCAGGCACTAAAAGTGAGTGCTCAAGTTGGTCAGCAAGATCCAGTGACCACCTGAATAGCCCCAGGTCAACAAGACAGACAGAACCTCATGCCCAGAAATCTTTTCTGCTGTCAGGACAAATTCTTTTCATAAGGGAACTCCTAACGACCAGTATTCTGGAGGCCTGGGATTTTACTAATAAAAATATGGGATTTGAAGAGTCCCCTTGTAAAAACAGTGTCACCAGCTGATTAGCCAGGATTTGGGGAGCAGGAGAGATGGAATTAAACTGTGTGATCGAAGGAGATTATGTGGAGGTGGAGATAAAAGGGGAATGGAAAAGACCCCAAAGACAGACCCATTCTACTTTACTACTTGTTCTATCAGCCTAGTAATCTGAAGCACACCAGAGTGGGCTGTTCATGTGTTTCCTCTTTCTCAGCAGGACTTATGAATGCTTGTAGGGGAAAAAATATTGAGCTGCACAGACTTAGAGGTTTATTTTCAAAGAATGACCAAGAAATCCGTTGTGCCATCCATCAATAAATACAATGCAGTTTCCCAAAGTTGTTTTACAAAAGGAAATTAAATAAATAACTGAGGATACCATTGACTGAACCCGCAAATTCTGTCAGTAGACCCATGGAATTCTAAAGAGGTGGTTGCCTGGTAACCAATATAAACAGCTTTGGAACCTAAGAAACAAGGAAGGTTTAAGATGCAGAACCTTGCTTCCCCTTGAAGACTTGATTGCAGGAGGCCATCTTGAAGGTAATTTCAAAACACTGCTACTTGGGTGCCTGGGTGGCTCAGTTGGTTAAGCAACTGCCTTCGGCTCAGGTCATGATCCTGGAGTTCGGGATCGAGTCCCGCATCGGGCTCCCTGCTCAGCAGGGAGTCTGCTTCTCCCTCTGACCCTCCCCCGTCTCATGTGCTCTCTCTCTCTCATTCTCTCTCTCAAATAAATAAAATCTTTAAAAAACAAAAAAACCCAAAACACTGCTACTTTACCAGTATCTGAAAAGAGCTTTTAGCATCAGCTGAATGATGAGAGGCAGTCTGAAGTAGTTGAAAAGATTTTGGATTAGGTGTCAAAGGGGTCAGGACTGCTTCAGGGATTAACCAGTACTGTGATCTTTATAGTATCTCTTCTCTCTAGGCCTCAGTTTTGAAATCTGTAAGATGAGTTAGAACAGAATCATGTTTATGGCAGTTTCCGTAGTAATCTGAGACAGTAGTAGATCTGTGTGAGGGCATGGCAAGGGACAGGAATTAGAAAGTAGAGGGGGAGAAATGAAGGAACTTTCTGAT